CATCATTAATTAATTCTTGGTGCTTTTGAATATGATAAGGGTGCATCTTGTTTTTAGATAGAATGTTTTGAACAGAGTAGTAAAACTAAGTTCTTGTTCATTGGAAATAGTCCTTATGCTTGTGTGTGGGTTTTCTGTAACCGCCATCAACACACTCATTTCGTTTTCCTCTGTCACACTAGTTTTTGTTCGTTCATGTTTTTCATAATTCACTGAACCAGTGCGGTTAAATCGATCTTTCAATTTTTCAAATGTATCTTGTCTAGGTTGTCGCCTATCTGGAAACCGTTCTTGATAAATTCTAGCTGATAGTAATGAATTTTTATTGCATTCCCCCAATATCCAGATCATATCTACCATTTCATCAGTAGTAAAATTCATTATTGCTAATTTAAATTGAATCAATTACTGAATTACTAAATAATAATTGTTGCTAATTTACGGTGTACCCCAATACTGAATTAATAAATATTAATGTCAAACTGTCAGTTTCTGACAAATCAATCATGGCCAACTCACAATAATTATTGGTAAACGTTAAAATATCTACCAAATTAATACTTTGATGGAAAAATAAAAATATCTTTAAAACTAATAACTTTAGGTATAGGGAGTACTTCATAAAATATGAAGTACGATATTAGTTCTTTTCGATAGTGATATAAAATACAGGGTGTTCTATTTAAAATTAACAAGAAAATAATGTACTTGCATTTTGACTTACCCTGTATTTGATTTAACGAATATTATGAAAATGAATATGTTTTATAGTTTTTAACAATTATTAAAAAACTATGGTTGCAATAGATCAATGTTCCTACAATCCTTTTTAATTATACAGGGAGTTAAACTTGATACGATTTTCAGGTAATATTGGTTATAACTTTTTAAATACCCGGTATAACATAATAAAACTTTACATTGTTGTAATGTGGAAGTGAAGCAGATTTCAAATTTAAAATAAAATACAGGGTGTTTCATTTAAAAAAACATAAGTTTGGTCTGCCACCATCTTATGGAACACCCTGTAGGATTGTAACTAATTTTAAAATATGGAGTTTAAAGCTGCCTACAATTTTTGTTAATAACTTTTTTTTGTAATTTTTACTATAACAGATCTACTGAGCTTCCTCACACTAATCAATCACCTAGTGTATATATATATATATATATATATATATATATATATATATATATATATATATATATATATATATATATATATATATATATATATATATATATATATCTGTAACTGAGGTGAGTAAGCACATAAGTCAAATTTTCCGAATTTTTTTTTTGGTGAAAATATGTAGGTGATTTGTAATACTACCATCGGCTCTAAGCACTTTAGTCTAATATGCATTTTTACAGCTGTTATTGTGAAGTGTGCATAATAACCAGACTGAGAAAATACCGACTTGAGTTTGTGAATAAACACTTAAGTCGACTTATGTCAAGAGAGCCAGTTGGAACTTGTTGTATCTTGTCGTCCCGTCGCTGACTTATGTTATTAGGCGCGTGTGGAATGTTACATGCAGAATAGAATTTAACCTAAAACAGTTCAGTTTGGTTTGATATCGCGACTAACACGTGTCCAAAAGTTTTTTTGTTTCAAGTGTCTGTTTATTTATATATTTGTGTTTATTTAAATTGGAAAATATGAGTGGGTTTTCAAGTAGATGGGAAAAAATTAAAGACGCTTTGAAAAAAAGAGAAGAAAAAGAACTGAATGTTACTAATTGTAAGAGCGATCCTTGTGGCGTGGTTATCTCTGATAAGAAAGGTAAGTTTGTCAGTTTATTAAATTTAAAAGATATATTTGTTAAATTTTGATGTTATTTTAGATGATGGCGATGATTACATGAGGCTAGAGGCCAACAGTAGTTTAACTGGGATGATTTTGAATGAGAGTGTAGAATATGCCCTAGATTCCTATGAGACGCACTTTGTATCAGAGCCTGGCTATAATGGTCCGTGCTGTAGTAATAGTACTGGTAATTAAATCTTAGATTTTTTTAATTTGAATTGTTGCATAACCTAACTTGCAGAAATCGGTTTGTAAGCTAAATGTGATTTTGGTTACAGAGCAAAACTGTATATCAGAATATTTTCAAAGCGCTCAGGAGGAACCAATAATTATTCAGGAATTAACTTCACCATCAACGTTTGTTCAACCAACAAGCTGGTTATCGGAATATGTGCAAAGCGCTGAGGATGAACCAATACCTATTCAAGAATTTACTTCTCCATCAATGTCTGTTCAACCAGGGCAACACAAAAACTCAAACAGTACAGATGGAATATTATTTTCAGAAGGTTGGTGATATTAATATAAAACTACTTCAGGGTAAACATATTTTATTGTTTCAGATCAAGATTCAACTTCAGTGGTAAGACCTACAAATCAATATAGTTCAGATGATGAGTTGATAGCAGATCCGCATTACATTCCTGAAAGCAATTCTGTTTTGATGACAAATAAAACTACTACAAGCAAACGCAGTTTGGAGCGTAAACAATCATGTCAACAGCTGGAAAAACTACCGGACACAAGAAAGGCTAGAGAATTACGAAAAAAGAACCGGTAAGTCATATGTTACAAAAAAAGGTAAAATAATTCCCGAGAGACCATTTCAACCTCTGCCACTATGCCGAGCTAAATGCAAAACAAAAATCACTGAACGTCAGCTGAAAGAAATTTTTTCCGAATATTGGAGTTTAGGCAGTTACGACAAGAGAGCAGCTTATATAGCCAGTCTTTTCACTATACATGACAAAAAATCGCAGAGGTCACGTACAGACGATCCAGATAAAGAAAAATTTCGCCTCAAAACCTACAAATATTTTTTACGAATAAATGGTAGCCATATTTCTGTTTGCCGTAAATGCTTTCTTGTGACTTTCAATGAAACAGACAATTTCTTAAAAGTTATCGCTTTAAAAAAAAGAGCATCTCCTGGGGAAACAAAGACTGATTCTGCCCAAGGAAAGAATATTCCACTAAACAAGTGGTCTGAAGAAAAATTAGAAGAAGCCAGTAAGCATATTTTGAGTTTTCCGAGTTACGAAAGCCGCTACTCACGCGCTCAAACAAATAAAAAGTTTCTACCATCACATCTGACCCTAGAAGCAATGTATTCACTGTACAAGGAATCATACCAAAACCCTGTGTCGTATCCATATTACAGATCTGAATTTCATAAATTAAATCTGTCGTTTAAAAAGCCTCAAACTGATACTTGCCATAAATGCGACAAGTTTGTTATGCTAATGAAATGCAGCGATGGAACAGAGAAAGAATCTGCAGCAACAGAAAAAGAAAATCATATGATCTCTGCAGAACTAGCATATCAGTATAAAAAACAAGACAAGCTTTTAGCTCAAAAGACCAAAGGAATGAAGTGTTTTACTTTTGACCTCCAGCAATGTCTACCAACCCCTTTATTAAAGTCGTCAGTCGCTTTTTACAAACGGCAGCTATGGACATTCAACCTCACTGTAATGGATGAAAATGGAAAATCAAAGCATTTTATGTGGCACGAATGTACTGCAAAACGAGGGGCTAATGAGGTTGGATCATGCTTGTATAAAGTATTTGTAGAATTGCCTCCTGAAGTTACCCATGTTGTGCTTTATTCAGATACATGTGGAGGGCAAAATAAAAATTCACATATTTCATCCATGATTATGTCAATATTACAGAGGTCAGATATAAACGTGCAAGTAGTGGATCATAAATTTATGGTACCTGGGCATACCCATATGGAGGTAGATGTAGCACACTCTATGATTGAGAAAAAAAAGAAAAGATCTAATATAGAAATTTTTCTTCCTCATGATTGGTATCAGCTGGTCAGATCAACAAGTTCAAAATTTGAAGTAGTGGAGATGGCCCGTCAGGATTTTTTTGATTTTGCTTCTCTGTTAAAGGGGCCATTGGTGTCTAGGAAAAAGGACGAGCAGGGAGAACCTTTTCGCTGGCATGACGTGCAATGGCTAAATTATAGAAAAGCAGATAATGGGAAAATATTTTTCAAAAAATCCTTAAATGCAGAAGAGCCGTTTAAGGAAATTTCTTTTATTAGACGAAATGGGTTGGGAAATTTAGTTCCCCCATTGAAATATAAGGCGGATGTGTCAATAAATAAAGAAAAAAAGAAGGATCTTCTTGAATTGCTTCCCTTAATCCCTACAACTTTTCATGGGTTTTATGAAAATCTTCCATCGAGCGAAACAGCGTTGCTGGACTATCCAGGTATAGATGAAGATACTGATTAAATAGTTATTATGTTTAAGTGTTTCATTCTTTTTTTTTAAGGTTTATTTTTGTATCAACTTCCTTTTTTTATAACAAATAAAACATACTTTATGTAATAATATTATTTTCATAACCCTTTTCTAAAGTGCAATAACACATAAGTCATAGATACACTTGGGATCTAATGACATAAGTCACTAATTTCATTTTTGACATATTTTTTATTTCATAGGTGACGGAAAATTTAGAGAATATTCTATATTAGTATATGGTATTTACATGTATAACTATAAAAACAACATTTAAAACCAAAAATAAAGTAAGTAACAAGTAATTGTGGGCTATAAAACGGATTTGCAGGTACCCGGCGAATTTTAAATCGCTTCTACTGCAAAACTAGGTAAAATGACTTATGTGCTTTCTCACCACGGTCAAAGATATATGAACATTTTATGTATAACGATCTAAATGTGCTCAAATTAAAAATACGTAAAGATAGTTTTTTGTCTCTCCTGTAAAATTGGGATTTAATGACATACGAGTTTTTCACATTAAGACATCGATTTATCCCTGCTCAAAAAATTTACACAGTTGATACCCGTCTGGATATTTTTTTTATAAATTTTAATAAAATATACAATTATAAATCAGAAGTTTTTACCTTGTTGTGAGTTTTTTAAAACAATGGTATACAGCCAATCACTGAGATATTCTCTTTTAATTTTATAACTTGTTTTAGGTACACTGTCCGATTTCTATCTTGAATTTAGGCTCTGGAAACAAGGTCGTGTAAATATTGAGAATTTATCTGAAAAATTGAAATCGGCAGTATCTCAAGCATCTTGGGATATTATAACTGAATATTACTTATTAACAAATCCATTGTGTAGCGAAGACGACAAATTAAACGAAAATACTGGTGCGGCATCGATAAAAATGGACCCAAGCGTGTTTAATTTTGACGAAGAAATAGATTTTAACTGTAATTTTAATATGGAATCCGATAAATATATTAGAGAGTCGGTGATGCATACAGAAAAGCCGAAAATTGACCATTTTACGTCAAAGAAAAAGAAAAATAGGCAGACAATTCCTCCAACTTTTAAATCTACTATCAACTTCGATGAAAGTATTAGGCAAAGAGAACTAATGAGAGATCGCACAAATTCCTTAAAAACGAATAGGTTAAACTCTCTTGAAAGCGGAGATTCCGGTGTTTTATCATCGATTTACTCGAAATACTTACCAGATTGGCTTGAATTTGGCGATAACCTAAATGCTCCATCAGTCAAAAAACACAAAATCAACCTCCAAAATCGCCATTTACCAAATGTTATAATAGCGGAACTTTTAAGCATTCTAAAAGATTCATCAAAGGCTTTTAGATGTATTTCTACGAGTTGTATTCGTAACGGAAGTGATGATCTGTATGTACCATATGTAGCTTCTAGCCTTATACCCAAATATATAATTATTTCGAGGAACTTCGATCATTGGTATGCTACTGTTTCAGCCCAAGATGCAAGTGATCTGCCTGATTTCATGAGTCCTCATGTTTTAAAGCACACACAGAAATTTATACCAGACATATCAAATAATAAGTTTATACCTAGACAGAAAATTCTTTGGATATCTGTTGAAAATGATTGTGTAAGTAAAATTAATAAAGAGTAATTAATTTAACTTAATCCCTTTAATACTTTTTCCATTACCGAAGACTGGCTATAATTATGACAAATTGATCTGTATTTTGTGCGGTTCTTAAGAATAAATATGTCTATTTGTGTATTTATGCTTTCCAATCTTTTATATATTTTTTGAAAGAAGCATTTGCTTTCAGGATTTTTTTCTTTTAATCTGTCCCTCTATTATGAGACGTAGAGGGCTATACCTCGCTCTTCAATAAATATGCATAAACCCGATAAACTATTTTCATCATCATCATCATCAGTAGCTCGACAACCCGTTAAGTAGTTGAGTTACTGTGACCAAATGCCCATCTTGGTAGTTAGTATTCGCCTCTGGTTGCGTTGAGTAACTGAGTTACCGTTGCTAACTACCCATCTTCCTGTCTTTTGATTTCTTTTTCTTTGTTCTCCTGAAGAAGCTACATACAATTGTAGCGAAACGTCGAGATGAACCCACTTTTGGGTCACTCACAAATGACACGGTCCAAACCCGGAAGACGAATAAACTATAATTCTGACTCTGGCCGTGGAAGCCTACGATTTCATTATTCGATATGTTCACTATTAGTTCGTGTATCGCATTCAATAGAGAGTCTTCATCTTCCTTTATTAATTCTGCGCTAATGTTGTCTAATCCAAGTGACTTGTTGTTTTTGAGTCTGGTAACTGCTTCTCGTCTTGTATTTCAGCTACTGAAGGGGGGTTGTTTCTCTGGTATCCGTTTGATCCAGTATAATTCCATCATATAGTGGATTTTCGTTTTTATTAAAACTTTTCTCTGAAGTATTCTGTCCATCTTTGTAGTATTTCACTCTGTTGAGTTACTATATCTCCTATATATTCTTTGTCTCTACACATCATTGGCCTTGGTTTAAATTCTTTTCTACTTTTTTGTAGAATTTTCTTGTTTCTGATTTTTTATTTAGTTCTTCCATTTCTTGGAGTTCTTTTTCTGTGTTCTCTTTTCTTTTTGCAATGTATTTTTTTCTCTTCTCTCCTTCGCATTCTATATTCCTCCTCTGCCTTTCGTGTTCTATGTCGTTGTTGTAGTCGTTGATATGCATTATTTTTCCTCTCTGTTATGTTACGACACTCTTCATCGAACCACTGTCCTTCAGTTGATTTGGGCTTTTTTTGTAGACCCAGGGTCTCTTTGGCCGCGTCTTGTATGATGTTTTTACACGCTTCCCATTCTCTGTTTATATCCTCGTGCTTTTGTCTATTTTCTAGCCTTCCTTTTATATATTCTTTGTATTTTGTCTTTTTGCTGTTGTCTGCTAAGTTTTTTATTTCATATTTTTCAATTTTGGATCCCTTTTCTTTTTTAATGTTTGAGATTCTGGCTCTTATTCTACTTTCCACTAGGTAGTGATCCGAGTCTGCATTTGTCCCTCTTCTGCTGCATACGTTTATTACGTCTGAGTGATGTCTAGAGTCAATAATAACATGATCGATCATGTTTACTGTGACCCCATCTGAAGATCTCCACGTTCCCTTATGAATATTTTTTCGCTGGAAGCATGTGCTGGCAATGACCATGTTAAGGGAAGTTGCTAGATTTATTAGTCTGATGCCATTGTCATTGGATACCTCATGAAGGCTGTGCTTACCTATAGTTGGTAGGTATTGTTGCTCTTTTTCCTATTTTTGCGTTGAGATCACCATAAATAATTTTGATGTCATTCTTTGGGCATGAATGGTATGCAGCTTCTAGTTCTTCATAGAATTTTTCTTTGACATCGTCTTCCTTTTCCTCTGTAGGGGCATGCACATTTAAGATGCTATAATTAAAAAATGTTCTCCTTAGTCTCAGGATGCACATTCTAGAGTTAATAGCACGAAAGTCTCTTACGAGGTGTTTAATTTTTTTAATCTGTATAGGGATCGGATGTTCCCTATAGATAAACTATTTTACACATTTTAATAATGCTTACAAAGAGTTCGGCAACAGCGCATTTTGTGAAATAAATGCGTGATAAATTTTCACCTGTGTTTATCCCGATTTTTGTAATAGTGAGAAAAAATTTTGAACTATACTCAACCAAACTTTTATGAAATCACTATCACACGTGTAACACAAAGGTTTGGGTTGCTTCTGTAGTACGAAATCCTGAGCGATCTTGGTGTCTCCTAATCGTTGTCTGGAGATGATAACTTGATCTCTTCTTTTCATAGGTAGCTTCCATGGTAGCACAGTTTGTTTTATGGAGGTTAAAATTTGAGACATCCCATGTTTTTTGCCATTTATTTATGATTTTCTTTTTAAAATATTGTGACAAGGTGGTGACAAATTGACATTGCCAATGAAATTGGTTTCTCAATTGCTTGTTTTGCAAAGTTGTCGGCTTTTTCATTTATTTTTATTCCACATTGTGAAGGGATCCAAAAAAACTGAACAGTTCGATGATTGATTTGTCATATCATGAGTTCCGACTTAATTAAACTTAAGGATGTTTAGTAAAAAGTTTGTTTAATGAGGATAATGAACTCAATGAATCACTAATTATTAGGCTATTAACAATGTTATTTTCATTGACGAATTTTATTGCCTAAAGAATGGCAAATAGTTCAGCAGAGAATATAGTGAATTGCTTAGGGAGTTGAAATGACCGTTCTTCGCTGGTTGTTACAAATGCAGCACTCACTCCATTTTCCGATTTTGACGCATCAGTATAAATGTGGATGGACTTGTGATGACTATTTAACTTCTCTAAGGCTTTGGTTTTAAAGAGGTATGATGAAAGTATCAGATTTTTTAAATGATGTAAGACTGATATCGCACTTTGTGAGAGACATTGTCCATGGTGGAGGATTATCAGAATTTGTAAGTGTGTATACAGGAGGTACAGTGATGTCTAGGTTATTTAGAATTATGCTGATACGATGATAGAATCATTGACTGAAATTTCGAGAAATATCTGTCAGCAAAAGTGTTTCTGAAAACAGGAATGGTTGGATTTGCCGCCACCCTTGTAGCTTATGAAAGACTTAAATATTCCTTTATAAGCTGAAGTGAAGGCTCCCCAGATTCACAGCACATCCTAATTGCGGAATTATGTTTTGAGCGAATTAGGGATCTGTATAAAGTCTTGTGATCATTGCTTGTGAGCTACGCTTCTAATAAATTTAGTCCATTTTGTGTAGATTGTCGAAGAAAGTGCACATGTTCTTTCCAAGTTAAACGGTTATCTAATTTCATGCCAAGAAAATAAATAGATTTTACATATTCAATAGAATTGTTATTTAATACTAGGTTTGGAGGGATTAAACTAGCTCTAAAGCGTTTGCTGAAAAGCATAGCTTTTGTTTTATTGGAAGAGAACCGCAGACCAGTAGTATTAGACCAGTTTTCTAGTTTGCTAATGGCTCCTTGAATATGATGTGATATTGATGATACATTTTTTCCTCTTGAGTAGATGACCAGGTCATCCACAAATAGACAGGCTTTGACTAGAGGTGAAAATGAGTTGGCAATATTATTGATTGCAATAAGAAATAAAGTAACACTAAGAGTGGACCCTTGAGGAATACCGTTTGATTAGGTTTTAATATCAGAATAAGTGCTGTCTATTCGAACTTGGAAATGTCGCTTCAGGAGAAAGTTTTGTATAAAATGCAAGATGTTTCCTTGAATTAACCAGCTTGACAAGGTATTTAAAATATCTTCTCTCCAACAGCTGAACAGTCCTGTCAAAAGCCAAATGATTCATGTACTACAGACTCTACGTCTACTATGTTATCAGTAGTAGACCTAGATTTTCTAAAGCCGCTTTGAATTGAGCTAAGAAGTTAATTTTCCTCTAAATGCCACAGTAATCTATTACTGACCATTTTCTCGAGTAGTTTACACATGGAACATGTTAAAGAGATGGTTGTAAGATTCTGGACTCGATTTACTTTTACCATTTTTAAGTACAGGAATTATGATAGATTTATACCAATCAACACGAAAGACATTTTTTGTCCAAATAAAATTGTAGAGGTCTAGTAGATACTGCTTGCCTTCGACAGGTAAGGCTTTAAAAAATATGATTGGGATGTTGTCAGGTCCGGGACTTGAATTCTTTGATTGGTTAAGAGATTCATGGAGCTCGTCTATTATGAATTCGACATTTAAAGGTGAACTGGTGTGATCGTCATAATCGATGTTAGACCCATCAAAGTTCTTTTTATGATTTAAAAAAATTTTTGGTAAGTTTTCGTCACTTGACTGTTTTTGGTATGTATTTGCTAGAACTGCAGCTATCTCCTATTTTGACGAGTATGTTTTAGTATCTTGTTCTAGATAGTAAAGTAAAAAAAGATTTATTTCCATACATTCTGTTGACCATTTTCCAAACATCTGTAGTAGGAGTAGATATATAGTTTTTCCATGGTTTTTTTACTCTGCTTTAGGACATATTGGCATTATATTATTAGATTAGCATTATTTCTAAAAATGATTTACTTACACTGTCAGACGTTTAACGAACTGCTTCGATGTTTTATATTGAACGACTTGATGAAAGACATCCAAATTGCGTAAAATCATATTTCAAAATTTGATCCAGTCTTTTAAATTATGTATTCACAATTATTGAAGTGAAATCACTATTTCGACCATACATACTTCTTTAGGGTTATATATAATTGTATTTACGATGATCTAAATATTGATTTTGTATTTGTGCATTTGTAGATTTTAATTTACACATACAACTGGGCTAAAGAAATAATAGACAAACTTTATACAAGCTGTTCAAATCTAGGATCATGGCTTTGCGTACGGTCTTGCTTACTAAATTCTATCACCTCTCAAAAGTTGGGAATATTTCATAACCAGCCCCTTACAAGGAAAGTATTTGTAAGTATATATTACTTAACAATCTTTAAAATCAGTTTAGAGGATAACTTTTTCAGATGATTCCCAATAATCCATATGCTAGTTTATTAGGAAATATTGATGCAACGACAACATTTCCAAAAGATCATTCTCTTAAAAGGCAACAGTTGAGTTATAACTTGCCTGCTACTTTAGAAGCTTTTAGGGACAATTTTAAAGCCAGTAAGTTAGCATCTACAGATCCGGTTGTTACATTTACATCAGAAATTGGCGAAATGAAGACGATAGAAAAAAGAAACAGAGAAGAACTGAAAACCCTTCACGCTATGTATCAGTCTAGAACTAGTACTACCAGTGTGCCTCAGATATTTTTGTTATTACAGAACTCCAGAATTGTTCATTACTGTCACACACCTTTGTTGTTTCTGTCTAGGTAAGTCATTTTATTTTATTATTTTATACCAAAACTATACTATTGTACCTTTTTTAAATAAAACGAGCGGTTCTAATTTATATAAATATATTTATTTATAAGTTTACAGCACGAAACTATCGCATCAACTAACTTTAACTCATAGAAGGTATGCTTATATACAAAAGTTATTACTAGAATAGTACTAGAATATTCCGGCGTAGTCCACCTCTAATTCGTTTGCTTGACGGGTCGAACTCTCCAGTCGTTTCTAGGACAGATCATCCTCGTCCCGGGCTACAACTGTTATATGGGCTACGTAGAATGCATCCTCTTAACACTGCTCCCCTCTTAGATCTGAGCATCCCGATCAGCAACTCTATATGTAGGCCCAGGATAGCGGAATCTCGAGGACTCTCCAGCTCTGCATTAACCCCTCAAGAAGAAATAACAGTCAGGCAGTAAGACTTTGGAGGACACGATCTCTTCGTGTTAATGCAACACACAGTAATTTTTACTCCGGTTTCTTGGAAGATCACTTCAAGCATGCTTCTGACAATCTTCCAATCCAGATTATCTAGTGCATGGTCTATCTTGGGTAAGGCCAAATTCTTGATGTCATAATTGCACACGATTTTCTTCAAATTAGTAGAGCACGCCATATATCCTCGTAGCTTGCCCTTTCTGTATACGACTTCCTGGTCACCATATACAGCAAAGATCGAGAACCATCTTCTAATCTCAGTACTTTTCCAACTTTAGGATGCTGGTGTTTTAACTCGTTCAAATGACCGAATTTGTTATAAAATACGCATGAGATTACTTTAGTCATCTCAAGATCTTGGGCAATACAGTGGGCTAGAGAGACGTTATCTGGAACACTAAAAAGATCCTGCTGAACTTCTGTGGTCACGTCGAATCTAGCATTCTTTCTTTCTGCGTAATTTGACATAAATTCATTAAAGCTTGGTCGCCGATCATTTTTGATCTGATGTTGAAGGGCTCGTGCTTCTTTTGTTTCATTTGAGCCAGCATAAGGTGCAAGAAGATTTATGTGAACTACTTTTGGTTTACCTTTCGGCAACTTCTTAATTCAGTATATTACGTATTTTATTCTCTTTTTAATTTCATACGGACCTCTCCATTGTCTTTGCTATTTAGGAGACAAGCCTCGACGACGTCGTGGATTATAAAGCCAAACAAGATCACCTACTTCATAGCTTTCATTCTTGCACCGAGAGTCATATTGATCTTTAATTCTGTCACTGGCTAACTTGATGTGTTGTTGGGCAAGTTCATGAATGTTGTTCATTCTTAACTTCAGGCGGTCGACATAATCTTCGCTTGCAACATGTTCTTCGGAAGGTCTGCAGCCAAACTCTAGGTCGCAAGGCAAACGAACTTCACGACCTAACATCAGGCAGGTTAGAGTCTGGCCTGTAGTTTCATTCACGGCCGAGCGCTAGGCCATTAGGAATAAATGAATGTGCTGGTCCCAATCTCTTTGATGTTCTGATACAACTTTGGACAGGTGTTAACCCATCGTTAGGTTCATCCTCTAGACCATTCCATCTAATTGAGGATGCAGGGGTGTCGTTCTGGTCTTGTTGACACCAATCAATTTACAAACTTTTTGGAAAAGGATTGACTCGAAGTTTCGCCCTTGGTCGGAGTGGATCTTCAAGAGAACACCAAATCGGCTAAAGAATTCTTTAACAAGTACCTCTGCAACGGTAGCAGCTTCTTGATTTGGTATTGCATAGGCCTCAGTCCATTTCGTAAAATAATCCATAGCTACCAAGATATATTAATTTCCATCGTTCGTTTCTGGAAGTGAACCTGCAATGTCGATTGCTACTCTTTCCATAGGACTACCAACATTGTACTGTTTCATGGGTGCCCTCTTTTTATCAACTGGATCATTACTGGTTGCACATAGTTCACATTTCCGGCACCATCTTCTTACATCATCTTTATAGTTCACCCAATAGAACCGTTCTCGAACCTTTTGCAGAGTCTTCGTAATACTAAAGTGTCTACCTGATGCACCGTCATGCAACTGACGCAATACTTCTGACACTTTACTTTTGGGTACAATCAACTGAAGCTTAGGTTCTGTACCATCATTGTTTTCAAAGGTTCTATACAGAAGGTCATCTTTAAGCACTAGGCAATTCCATTGGCTCCAGCAACACTTGACTTCGGGACTACATGCGCTAAAGTCTTGCCAAGAAGGTCTTTCACTTCGACTTCTTTTCTTCAATACTTTTTTTATACATGGATCATCTACTTGAGCGTTTTGTAGCTGTTGAGACTGTCATTGCTCATTAATGACGATGGTTCGTCTCACGGGGCAAAGTCGTTTTCCTAATCTAGGACAGTGATTACAATTTGCACTGCATCGCCCTCTTCAGCATCAGCATTTGAATGACTTTTTCCAGCCCAGTGTTCTATCTGTTCTAGCTTTCTGACTATTGTATTATTTTTTGCAATTTACGTCGAATGTGACCTACGTCGCCACCATTCCAACATCTGGTTTCGCGTCTCTCCGGCATCGTGTTACGAACTACTTTCCGTACGATTTTCTCTAGACGTTTATCGTTTCGTTGGTCACTCTCTGCAGAGGTTCGTACTCGATATCTCCGTGAAGTACTAGAGCTGTTTCATGCTCCAAGGCAATGGCGAGCGCTTCATCTAAAACTTTTGGACTTGCTAGTCGTAAAGCTTTCTGTATTTCACTGTCTTTTAACCCGTTGACAAAGGTATCTACAGCAATTTCTTCCCAAATGTTGTCTGGCACATCTGGATAAGCCAACAGCACTGTACGAGCAACATCTACTTCAAATTGTCTTAGATATGTGGAACAACAGTACTTTCCATCAAATGGTGGCAATTTGAATCTCATATGATGTATCGTTTCGTCTCTCGGTGATTCTTCTTTCACTACCGGATCTGATACTACTGTATTAACTGGTGGTAGCACTTTTGTATTGGTTATTATGCTCTCTAACTGTTTGATCTTCTCTTCTACTTTATCGAATGTTTTAGAAACTTCTTCAAATTTCTAGCGTTCCTAGATCCCATAAATCGAAAGGAAGGCTATTTAGAACATAAAGTGTATCGAAAACCTACACACACCGACAGATACCTAAGCAGGAACTCAAATCGTCATCCAGCCCAAAAATAAGGTATCATCAAAACTCTGGCGGAGAGGGCGAAGAGAAAGAAACAGCATGTATAGGCAAAGCGTTCTCGCACTATGTATCGGGGGCAACAGACAGAATTGGGCGAATACTTAAAAAAGCCAATGTAAAGACCATTTTCAAGCCTACAAAGAAAATCAAGGACTGTTTAAGATCAGTGAAGGACAAACGCGACCCATTAGGGTCATAAACGAACATAAAAGCCATTGTCGTTTAGGACATATCGACAAATCTGCCGTTGCCGAACACGCTTTGGGAAGCGAAGAACATCGGATACTCTTTGAAGAAACGCAGATGCTGGATAAAACATCCCAGTACTACCCACGGTTATATCGGGAAGCGGTGGAAATATATAAGCATCCAAATAATTTTAATCGGATAGAAGAAGGACTAAAAATTAACAAAACATGGATACCAATATTAAAATCCACAAACACCTTCCCGCAAAACACGAAAAAAGAAAGGCAATGAACGACGACACGCCCCCTCACGCCGAAACCAGGGTGGAGGCAAATAGAAAATATAAATATGTCCTCCGTAGTACAACGTGGCGTCAGTTTCAGCTTACAAGCGAAGCAGTAACATCTCCAGAAGATGCCAACCCCTAGTGTTGGCGAAACGTTGAGAACTAATCTCAGAAGACAATGGTCTAACAGCCCGAACAAACAGTTTAACAAATATTAAAAATGTATTTGAACTAAAATATAAACATGCTTTCTGCGCGTGCTGCACTATTTACTATTAGAATAATTTTTATTTGTATCTTTCAGGTGGCGATTAAAAGCTGCTTCTACCAGAGACCATTCTCTATATCCATCACACGCTATTCAAATCACAGATAAAATGGCAAACGAGGACCTGGAAATGTGGCATACAGAATTATGTTATGGATTTTTCTCGGAATATAGACATTATATGCAAACTCTTGGATTCATGCCTCTCCAAATTGATGATCCTCATAGCAGACAAGGGTAAGTGTATTACTTAAATTCATTTATAAAAATATTATTGATCCCCGTTTGGGATCTTCCGAACGTCAGGAAATTAAACATGGGGTTTTAGACTCCTTACAATTAAAATAACTGAGGAAAGATTTACAGAACAAATGATTGTTTTTGTACTAGCTTTTGTTACGACATTATTCTCACATTTTCACCGATGATGTTAGTGACTACCAACGAAATATTAGAAATAAAGAATAAAGAGTACACATAGCCCATATTCTTTCAGCTGTGGACAGATTCGAACGTAGTTATAAGGATCGAATCGTTTTGTAATGCCCCTTTGTCCGCTTCTTCTCGATCGACGATGATAAATACAATAAAATGTTGAAGTTGTGGAGTAAAAATTATGGTTTTATTGACAGCTACTAATAATTACACTATAGATGTTGGTTAGGTAACTTTCTATAATAGACTCCGTTCAAATGAGCTTAAATCCCCAATTTATAATCTCACAAATAATGTATACCTTAGCACAGAGGTTAATACAGTTTTACAATATCCAGTTATACACGGTGGAACTATAAAAGGTTAAGAAGTTAAAAATAATGTGAGATTACAAATTAAGGGATTACTTTGTGATTGAACATTCGTTCAGAGCGTTACGAAAAATCCTTCGTATATTTTGGCCTAACCGAATCTCCAATGAAAATTTATGGAACCAAAGCAACCAAGAAAATGTCATAAAGCAAATAAGGCGAAGAAAATGGAGATGGCTGGGCCACACACTCCGTAGACCGCCAAATGACATTGCCAGGACAGCGCTGGATTGGAATCCCCAAGGCCGACGGAAAGTAGGCAGACCTAAGGGAACTTGGAGAAGGACAGTACTGGACGAAGGGAGAACAATGGGAAAATCCTGGCTTGAAATCAAAGCACTAGCCAGAAATAGAGTTCGCTGGAGACACTTTGTGGAAGCCCTATGTTCCTCTTAGGAATCTTGGGACTATATATATATATATATATATATATATATATATATATATATATATATATATATATATATATACTGTGATTGAACATATTGGCCACTATATAAAAGAAACAGACGACCAATAGAAAATATCTAAACACGTATAAATATAAAATAATAATAATATAACAATAATCATAATAATTCACTTGGTTTTTGAATTATTATCTTACCCGAGCAGTGCTACCTATAACTTGAATATTTAGAATTTATGTATCAGCTAAACTGTCTAATTCAAATCTAAGCTCATTAAGTGAAACTGATCTAGGAGGGGCTTTCTCTAAAGCTTTACTTAAATGAGGTTGGATGCAAGAACCTTGATGCCTTTGTTCTCTGGCTCTCTTGGAGTTTCGAATATATCTGACTACTTTCCGTATAACAACAATCAACATAACAATGAATATAGTGACTAGTCCCGTGGTTAAATGAGGAATCCACTGATGGTTAGCAATGGTTTTCCACGTGTGTTCGGATATATCTTGGTCAAACTGCTCTGCATCGAGTACAATATTTGGCAACTCATCTCCCCGAATATCTATATTATGTCTGGGAATGTTGTTCTGTTTTATGATTATAATCTCACAAATAATATATACCTCAGCACAGAGGTTAATGCTTCTATCATACTAACAAACTTTGAACTATGAGCTTACAATACAGTTTAATCTAGGCCGTAATTGCAACACTTAGGAAGTTCAATTAGAAAAAATATATTATTCGACAATTTATTAACAGGTTCTTCTTCTTCTTGATGTGCCTATCCGTTACGAATGTTGGCGATCATCATGGCAATCTTTATCTTATCTGCAGCAGCGCGGAAAAGCTGCACAGATGTTGTATTGAACCAGATTCTGAGGTTCTTCAACCAAGATGTTCTTCTTCTTCCTGGACCTCGCTTTCCAAATATTTTTCCTTGCAGGATGGCTTGAAGGAGAGCATATCTGGATTCATTTCGCATAATATGCCCGAAGAATTGTAACTTTCGAGATTTAATGGTGGTCAGTATCTCTCGGTTCTTATTCATTCTTCTAAGGACCTCCTCATTTGTGACTCGGTCAGTCCACGGGATCTTAAGTATTCTCCGATATAGCCACATCTCAAATGCTTCCAGTTTTTTGCTCATATCTTCGTTCAAGGTCCACGATTCAACACCATATAAAAGGACAGAGAAGACGTAGCATCGCAGCAGTCTTACTTTTGTAACAAGAGAGAGGTTGTGACTCTTGAAGAAGGCCCCCATCCGATTGAAGGTGGATCTAGCTTTTGCGATGCGTGCTCTCCTGCGTAATCTCCTGGTTGTTGGTCCGTTCTTCATTTATAATGGTGCCGAGGTAGTTGTAGTGCGTCACTCTTTCTACAGGAGATTGGTTGACGTAGAGTTGACCTTCTGTTATCCTTTTCTTGCTAACTATCATAAGCTTTGTCTTTTTAACGTTTATACTGAGTCCATATTGTTGACTGTAATACGTGATTTTGTTCATAAGAACTTGTATGTCTTCTAAGTTGTCCGCAAATACTATGGTGTCATCTGCATATCTGATGTTGTTAAGCCGGTAACCATTTAGTAGAATACAGATTGAAGATTAGAGGAGACAAAATACAACCTTGCCTCACGCCACGCATGATTTTCACATAGTCAGTGTGTTCACCTTCAACTCGGAGATTTGCTGTCTGATTCCAGTAAAGATTTCTAATTATATTCAAATCTTGGTTGTTAATTCCTGCTTCTTTAAGTATTTGCATCATCTTGGCGTACTGTACTCGATCAAACGCTTTCTCGTAATCAACCAGACATGCATAAACGTCGCAGTTGACGTCTCTGCATCTCTGGAATAAGACTTGTACTGAGAACAAAGACTCTCTAGTACCAACAGCATTAGTGAACCCGAACTGGTTGGGAGAAATTTGACTTTCACAGATCTTGTAGATTCTCTTATGAATTATCTTTAGGAACAATTTTAGAAGATGACTCATGAGGCTTATAGTACTGTAATCTTCACATTTTTTGGCTCCTGGTTTTTTTGGAACTGCAATAAACTCAGATTTCAGCCATTCTGTTCTCCAGAGTTGTATATGTTGTTGAATATCTTCGCGATTATTGCCATTAATTCGTTGTCCATTAGTTTGAGTATTTCTGCTTGTACATTATCAGGACCTGCCGCTTTGCCATCCTTTAACTGTGTTATTGCGGAATAAACTTCCTGCTGTAATATTCTTGGTCCATCATTTACCTCTTCTTCTAGCTCAAAGGTGTTATATCTTTGGTCTTTAAATAGTTTTTCTAGATATTCTTTCCACGTTCTTATTCTATTCTGTTTGTCCAAGATGATGTTTCCGTCAGAATCAGTTATATTTCCTCTCTGCTTTCGTCTTAGTCCTCCTGTGAGTTCTTTAACTTTCCTATGTACATTGTGACTATCGTACTTTGATTGCAGAGTCTCAATTTCTTCGCATCTTTCCCTTGCTTCTTTTTCTTTCGCTTCTCTAATTTTAGTTCTTATTAATATATTTATGGTTTTATATTTGTCCGCGTCATTTTTGGCTTCTCTTCTCTCGTCCATTAGTTTCAGGATCTCATCTGTCATCCATGATTTTTTCTTTACTAATCTATCTGTCTTTAAGTGTTTATCCTTTACATTTTGCACTATTTCGGTAATTCGTTTGTTCTTCGTTCGATTCGTATCTAATTGCAGTTACTTGCTCGTTTAACGTGGCTTGGACTATCATCTTCGTATCAAGGTCTTTCAGCATGGGTAGGTCGTATAATTGTGCTTTTATTTTCTGCACTATTTTGAGTTTGACTCGAAATACTCCCACCAGTGGAACGTGGTCTGTCTCCAAATCTGCTCCAGGATAAGTCTCGACAGATGTATTAACAGGTGAATGGATTTTAATTATTAAAAAATTATTCGTTATAGTTTTACCATGTCTCAATTATACACGGTGAAACTACAAAAGGTTGAGAAGTTAAGAATAATGTGAGATTACAAATTAAGGGATTAATTTGTGATTGAACAAGCTCATTTCTCAAAAAAGTGTAATTGTATCTTCTAACTTATTCAATCAACTGTTAACACATGATATATATATATATATAATATATATATATATATATATATATATATATATATATATAAAGTATCCTCCGCGTGTAGAGGTTCTCTCTCACCGGCTCTGGAACTCGATTCAGCCATGTGTTACCTCTAGTCAAATTTAATTTAATACTGAACATCACAGTTATTTTACAACACAATGTACAATCTTTTATAACTAAATGTAATTTAAAGGGTTTTTACCCTAGTATTTTGGTGGCTCAGGCATTGTGACCTAGCATTTTTCGATTTTAAAACCTGATGATGGACTGTGTGGTCCGAAAACGTTTGTTTTATTGATGTAGCCCTTTTAAGGGTTTTTTAAATAAATATACCCATTTACAAAGACTAACCTCTTTTTCATTAGTTAGTTGTCGTAGTCGTCTGCCTATGATGTCCCAAACATGTTCTGTTTGGTTGAGGTCAGGACTTCTCGCAGGCCAATCCATGGCAGGAATTCCAACCTCCTGACGATACTGCTGCACAATTCTTGCCGTGTGTGGCCTGGCATTATCTTGCATAAGCATGAAATTATCTCCAATAAATGGTGCAAATGGCACGACATGCTCTTCTAAAATGTCTGTTATATACCTCTGCGATGTAAGCCGACCGCGATCTATTCTAACTAATTCCGTACGAGCCTCTAAATTAATCCCACCCCACACCATTACCGAGCCGCCGCCATACTGTACAGTCTCTACAGTGTTACACTGTGCGTAGCGTTCCCCAGGCCTTCTATACACTCGGTTTCTCCTGTCATCAGAAAAAAGACAGTACCTGGATTCATCGGTGAACAATATTCTTCCCCAATCGTCATTATTCCAATCAACATGTTCACGAGCAAAATGCAATATTTGCCTTCTATGGTCTCTGGTCAATAATGGGCCAATTGGTGCCCTTCCAGGGTGTAGGTCGTTTTCGGCAAGTCTTCTCTAATCGTATTTTGGCTGATTCTAAAGTTATAACGATCCAAAAATTCATTTTGTAGAGAAGTACTGGTAACAAACCTTTTTCAGTGTACGAAGTGTCAAAAACCGGTCTTGATTAGGAGTTGTAACCTTCTACGGCCTTGACCGGGTCTTCTCGAGTTACTTCCAGTAACAGAAAAACGTGTTAACACTCTTGAAATGGTTGACTGGGTGACGTTAAAACGTTCAGCGAGTTCTACTTGAGTGTATCCTTCTTCGCGAAGAGTAACGATTCTAAAACAGTCACTTTCTGACAAATTTCGATTTTCTTGCTGCTGGTGGTTCATTTCAAAGAAAAAACACTTAATAAACTTGAAAAACCTCTTTAAACGTTCAGCACAACGTAATCCAACCCAACTAAATTCGAAATAAAATGAAGCACAATTAGCATGTTTTTAATTTTTTTGCAAAAAATGTAAAAACATCAGCGTTTTTTACCGTTTTTTCGATAAATTTTACAATATACCGGGGGTAACAATAATCTATTAGCAGAAAAATCGAAATATTAAAATTATTTAATTTACCAAGGCTTTTAAAATTACGCGTTAATTTTGGGGTGCAGTGTAATTAAGTTACAAAATAAAACGAATTGACATTACATCGAGATAATGACTGAGTTGTAGGTTTTAAAACAAGCTCTACATAAAACCAGTTCTTAGGGGTTAAATAAAAAGCAACAAAATAACAGTTTTACTTAAAGTGAATCTACGTGATTTTTCTCACCGCAACTATAAAATCTGCCTCTCGGTCTTCAGTGTTTATTATAAACATTTCGTAGTTAAATTGATTTTTTAAAATTATTCAAAAAAATATTGTGCTGAAATTCCTTCATTTTCAGAATTTAATTTTGACAACCAGATGAAATTTTATCTATTTAAATTTCACAAAACTTTTGATGTACTTATTGGCCTCAACAATCTTAAACTCTTTGCAGCCCAAATAAACTTTCCTAAATCACTTGAAACAAATAAAGCACTTTTTTAAAAAGCAAAAACACGATCAAAATAAGCTTTTAATTACACTAGCAAAGATTTTAATCACAATTTAAAATATAATATTCAGACTACAAATAAAATTATTTCATACTGAAAAAGGTGGTTTTAGGATGCTTTATTTATAATAAATACACTTGCTGAATTTGCTGTTCTAATACATCGCAATTAATGTTGCAAGGTTCCAGAACGTTCGGTGCTGATAGCAGTAACTTGTTATTGAATTCGCGTGTTTCTAGCGGTCATTGTACTATAACTAGCGTAGTACCTGAACACTGTATGCAGAGAAATATAGTAAAGGAGTTTATGTTAGTTGCATTATATATTTATATATTTTATACACTTAGTTGTTCAAATTTTTAATATAACTCTGAGAAAAATGTTTTTAATTGTTGTTTTTTTTATATATTTGCAGGATTTGGACCAAAGACAAATCATCTTACAATAATGTATTTTATATTCAAAAAACTATTTTGGGGGGCATTTTAATTTTTACAGTAGAATTTTGTGAGCCATTTTTTATGACTAAGCTTTTGGCAATCGAGTGTAATAGACTACAAAACATAAGTTCTCGAGCTTCTATAAATAGGGTGAGTATAATAAAACATTTGTAATTTAGTAAAGTTATTTTCAGAATTTTATTGCAAGATAATCCTGTTACAGTATCCTAGTACTATAACATCCTACTACTGCTCCTTAGGATTTTTTTCCTTTTCTACTTTTTTAAACCAGGTTTATTAGATTTACCAATGGCTGATGGCGAGTCTTTGCGTAACAAGCACGTGCTAACTTGAATCATAAACTCCTGGTAATCCTATTACTTGTTTACTCATAAATTGTTTGCTAAGAAACAATGGTGTACTTACATTATCGGCAAATTCTTTAATTCGGTAACTTATTTTTCTTCGAACTATAGAGATAATAACTTTCAAATAATCGAGTTGTAAAGGTTGTAAAATAAAACATTGCTATATTGTAGATACACAGGTCCAATTTCATTTTTCGAGTTATAAAGGGAAAGTATGTACCAAATTATATTTTCCACAAATCTAAATGGCAGACGAGAAAAAGAAAATGGCCCTCAGTCTGGGGCACTCCTTAAATTGGGAGAGGGTGCGAAGAATCCCCCCGTCAACTACCCAAGAAAGTGGACAGAGAATACAAATATACGACCATTCCCACCTGGAATTTACGCAGCTTATTTATGTTCGGGAAACTGGCAAACACTGAAGCCGAGATGGTAAGATTGAAAATAGACATCTTGGGGATGAGCGAAGTAAGATGGCTTGGTTCAGGAGTACAAAAAACAAAACATAGATACATATATTATTCAGGTGGAACCGACCCAGAACATAAATATGGAACTGCTATATTAGTGTCGAACAAAATTTAATAAATATTGGTCTATGCTCCAACAAGTGACAAGTCAGACGAAGAAATCGAAAAATTTTATAACAACTTAGATGAAATAATGCGACTGACAAAAAGAAGTAGGATAACGATGATCATGGGTGACTTTAACGCTAAAATTGGTCGCGGTGCTGAAGGAGACCACATAGGAGCATGCGGTCTAGGTGCCTGGAATAATAGAGGAGATAGACTTGTACAATTCTGCGTAGAAAACAATCTGTTAATAGCCAATACCTTCTTCAAACAACATCCTACAAGCCAATACACATGGAAATCACCTGCAGACAGAAAAGACAGAATTGTTAGAAATCAAATTGACTTCATTTTGCTCAATAACACCTTTAAAGTACATAGAATCTACGAAAACATACCCTGGAGCTGATATACATAGCGATCACAATCCAGTTATAATGGATTTTAGAATAAAAAGATTTCTCAAAGTCAAAAAGAAAACAGTGACAAGAAAAATAGACATCTCACAACTGAAGAACCCTGAACAGAAAAAAGAAATAAGTATCAAGCTTGAGGAAGAAATAAAAACGATCGAAAACTTGGTACAGACAGACATTGAAGTAACATGGACTGCTCTAAAAACAAAAATAACAAAGATACAAGAAGAAGACATCGGGTTCATAAAACACAACAAAAAACAAGAATGGATAACGCAAGAGATCATGGACCTCATGGACGTAAGACGAAAACATAAAACAAGCCCAATAGAATACAAGCGAATCAATAAAATCATTAGAAAAAAGTGCAGGGAGTCGAAAGAAAACTGGATGTCAACAAAATGCCTAGAAATCGAACAACTTCAGGAAAAATACGACACCTTTAATATTCATAAAAAAGTAAAAGAAATGACAGGTAGACACAAAAAGAGACAAGCAACAATATTAAAAAATGATAATAACGAAATAATTATGGATACAGAAGACAAACTAGAGAGATGGAAAGAATACATACAAACTCTTTTTGACGACGATAGACCTTGTTCTCCACCATCCACAGATAATCGAATAAATGAAAAAGGCCCAGAAATAACCAAAGAAGAAGTGATTCACGCAGTAAAATCTCAGAAAGATGGAAAAGCCACCGGTCCAGACAATATCAATGTCGAAATACTAAAACTAATTGCAGATAACGAAAGTAAAAGCCTAGACTTAATAATACACTATTCAATAAGATATATGACACAGGTAAAATACCAACAGACTGGCTAAAATCAACATTCGTAGCATTACCAAAAAAATCGAATTCCTCACAATGCGGTGATTATCAAATATTAAGCTTGATGTCTCATGTCCTTAAAACTTTCCTCAGAATTATTTATACACGAATTTACAAGAAGTGTGAGTTTCAGATGAGTGACACTCAATTCGAATTTCGAAACGGATCGGGAACATGAGAGGCTCTTTTTGCGTTAAACGTATTAACGCAACGATGCAGAGACATGAATGTAGATGTATATGCATGTTTTATTGACTATCGAAAAGCATTTGACTGCGTTAACCATCAAAAGATTATCGAAATTCTGAAAACAACTGGAGTTGACGAACAAGGATATACATATATACAAACAATATACAAATTCGACGAGGAGTGAGACAGGGTTGCTACTGTTTAATTTGTATTCGGAGTCTGTATTCAGATAAGCATTAGACGAGGTCCAAGGCAGAATTAAGATTAACGGAATCAGCATAGACAACATCAGAGATGCTGATGATATCGTCTTAATAGCAAGCAGCGCACAAGAACTACAAAATATAATAAATGCGGTAGTTCACCACAGCGAAATGTTCGGCTTACATCTAAACGTTTCCAAAACTAAAATTTTAGTATTTTCAAAGACACCAATAAACGTACATGTGTATGCCAAGGGTCAAATAATAGAAAAAGTTAATTCCATAAAATATTTGGGAATATACTTGGGAAATATTATTTTAAATTTATTATATTTATTATATAAATTATTATTATAAATAACTATTTGGGAAATACTAGTGTCCTGGATGGTGAACTGGTTGACAATCGGTATAATGTAGCAAGAAGAGATAGAGATAACAATAAAACTCGTGGAGGTGGGTTTGATTATTGCAGTTAAGAAAAATATAGTATTTGAACACATTAATTTTAACACTAACAGTGAAATTGAATGTTTAGTAGTAAAAATAAAATACCACAAATGTAATTTATTATTAATATGTGTGTATATTCCACCTTCTGTTTCTATGTTAGTTTTTAATAACTTTTTAGTAAATGTTGAAAATATTGTTTGTGATAATGTAGATGTCTTTATTGTTGGAGATTTTAATATACCTAATTATGTATTAGGCACATGTGAGAAAAGCTTGAGACTGAATCAGTTTTTAAGTATTTGTGGTCTATGTCAAATAAATTCAGTAGTAAATTATACGGGTAGAAAGTTAGATTTAGTGCTATCCAATGTTCATGTGGTTTGTGCTAGAAGTAGTGATCCATTTGTTCAGGAGGATAACTACCATCCTTCTCTTAACTTAAAAGTGCAGCTCAAAGGTCTCAACAGCGATAAACATAAAATTCACTCATCTTTTGAATATGATTACTCTAGGGGCGATTTTCTGCTGTTGTATAATCTAATTAGATCAATAAACTGGGGTGGATTAAAACATTCCAATGATGTAAATATTGCTATACAAACCTTCTATGATAAAATGTTTGAATGTATTGAACAAGCAGTACCTAAAAGACAAAAATCTAACAATAGTTATAGTAAATACAGTTTTCCTAAATATTTTTCTAAAGATTTAATTTGTAAAATCAAAAAGAAAAACAAGCTACATAGGCAAGTGCAGGGTGAACATGTTAATATCAAAATCCAGAATGAGTACAACTGTCTTAGGAAGTCCATTAAAATACAAACAAAATCTGAGTATATAAAATATCATGACACTGTAGAAACAAATGTTAACATGGACCCAACTAGTTTTTGGTCATTTGTGAAATCCAGAAGTAGTTCCAGGGGTTTACCATCAGAAATTAATTTAGACAACAATATTTACACTGGTTCTGATGAAGTTTCTAATGCTTTTGCAATATACTTTAAGTCAGTCTATAGCATCTCATCTGATATGAAGATACCTAAGTTTCATGGTATTCTAGAGTTTGATGAGATAACTGAAGAAGCCATTAGAGCTAGTGTAAAAAAATTAAAACCCAAGAAATGTACAGGTAAAGATAATCTACCTGCTTATATCTATAAGGGGTGTATTGACCAACTTGTTGAACCATTACAGGTTATATTTAATCTAGCTTTAAAAACTAAAACCTTTCCTAAAAAATTAAAAGATACCATTACAGTTCCTATTTTTAAATCTGGTAATATTAATGATGTAAAAAATTATAGACCAATTAGTATTTTAAATTCTTTGGCAAAAATATTTGAATCTATTTTATATAACAACTTATTACAACATTTTATCAAATCTTTTAATCAATATCAACATGGATTTCTACCAGATAGATCAACACTTACAAATTTGTATATTTTCACACAATCTACTGCAGATGCCATAAATACTAAGAGGCAAATGGATGTAATCTTCACTGATTGTGCAAAAGCATTTGATAGGGTTGATCATGGTTTATTACTAGAAAAACTGGGCACCTTTGGCCTTTCTATTAACGCATTAACATTTTTGAATTCGTACCTAGCAGATAGAAGTCAGCAAGTTAGAGTTGGTAATTCTTTCTCAGAGGAATATTCCGTAACTTCTGGAGTTCCTCAGGGCAGCAACCTGGGACCACTCTTATTTGCTTGCTTTATAAATGATCTTTCTAGTTGTCTCAAATTTTCCACTTGTTTAATGTTTGCAGATGACTTTAAGATGTTTAGAGTTGTAGAAGATCAATGTGATTGCCAACTATTACAACTAGATTTGAATGCAGTATCTAATTGGTTTCAGATAAATAGAATGGATCTAAATATTGACAAGTGTTCAGTTATGACCTTCACACGTAACAGGAACTTTATTAAAATGGTTTATTGTATCAATAATAGAGAATTGCCCAGAAAATCTGTGTGTAAAGATCTTGGTGTGAATTTTCAGCAAAGCTTGCACTTTAATGATCACTATCACATTGTTACTAATAAGGCTTTTAGGATGTTAGGATTTATAATTAGAAACACAAAACATTTTAAGATGATAGATAGCATAATTAAACTATATAATTCCTTGGTAAGACCACATCTTGAGTATGCTTCTGTAGTTTGGGCACCCCGTGCAGAAGTAAATATAGATATAGATGTGTCATGTTGTGTTGAGAGGCGAAAGATATGAATTACTTCAAGTTATACTGGAAGGAAAAGTACAGGGTAAAAGATCAGTAGGAAGACGCCAGAACTCATGGCTGAAAGACCTGAGGAGATGGTTCGACCGCTCATGCGCAGAAATCTTTCGCGCAGCAGTTTCCAAAACTACAATTGCCATTTGGATCGCCAACCTTCAAAAAAAGAGACGGCGCCATGAAAGGAAGAAGATGTACCATAGTGGCTTGCAGGGACTGACTGGTTATTTCGACTAATAACGGGTTGAGATTTCGAGTAATGAAGATATTGGGGCTTGAAGGGAAGGGAACAAAACATTTTTTCAAGTTTTGAGGTTTTCGACTTATCGAAGTGCTACTGTAGTTTCATTTTACGTAAAATTAAATTTGATTAAAATTATTATAAAAATAAACGTTTTTATTTACGATTTTTAGTTTACCTTGAGTTTTTTGGACGAATGTGACAGAGTTAAAATCTTAATGCATCTTCACTCATTTACATATGATTATCATTTGAGATGCATTTATAATTATATATCAGGAAATCCAGGGGTTAACAAAGTCTGTGATCGCTATAATGTACATCAATTTTTGGACGACTTCTTGAAATATTACAACAAAGCTCCTAATTTCGCCAGGAACTTAGTTCATACAGGTAAAAATTTTAAATTATTTATATTTAATGTCATAAATATCAAAAATGCATATACTGCTTACAATATTGTTAAAATATACACCATTTTTTTGTTCACAATTCGCACATCATAATTTGTTTTTAAATAAAGTACATTGTGTGTTAGTTGCATGAGAGCAGTAGTTATTTCTCATATTTGATAGAAGTTGATACCATTTGAGATATAAACAAATTAACAAAGATAAATGATCAATGGATACTATATGGTCACATGTTACAAGCAAGTAGGTTTAAAAGTGCTCTCTCAGAAAAATTGTGAATTTGGCTATATATACACTTTATATTTCAATTCAAGATCTGTCAGATGCTATATGTGGCGTTCAGAACCATAGTGGATTAAGTCCACTTTTTACGAAAATTAAGTTAGCGGTGTATCTATGTTCTACAAATAGAAATCTTTTCGGTGCTACATATAACAAACCACGTCCAAAGTTACCGCAATAATAAACAGATGGCGTTAGTTTCCTATGTCTCTGAACAATGTGTCATATTATTTCGGGACAGAGGGGATCAAGTCCAGTTGACTAGTCAGATTGTTCTCAGTGTATTTATCGTGATCGTTTATGAATAAAAATGAATTTAAATGACGACATTCATTTGTCTTCTTCTGCTTCTTCTGCAACTTGAAAATGGAATGTCTCTCGAATGGAAAGTTATTATGTACTAGAATATTTTGGAGTAGTCCACTTCTATCCTTCACGTCGAAAGCGCATCGAGAATGCCAACGATCGAATATTCTAGATCCATACTTCTAAGAACTGTGAGACGTACCACGCATCGGAGATGGGCTATTGCGTTACAATATCCAACACAACCAAAAAATACAGAAAGCCGATTGGATCTTTTTCTCAAAAATCAATGGGAATAACATACACAAAATAAATGTAAAAAATAGGGAAAACGAAGCATATCAAAAAATTCAAACCGCTGCCTTGGTGCAATGAAAATACTTTTGATTTAGTTCTTTACACAGATGCTTCCAAGAATTCTTGCCGTGTAGGATGCACAGTTACTAATTTAAAAGATCGATAAGTTCCACTCGGTTGTGCTCATCGTGCAGCATTCACACATGAGAGCTGTTTAGCATTATCCAAGCCTTTAAATTCATGTCTACCTCATTTACAAAAGTAGAAATTTGCACCGATTCCTTTCCTGCATATTATTATTAAAATCAATATTTACTGATTATGTACTAGTTATATACACGACATGATATACCAATCTCTTCATGCTTGAGAAAAAAAATCTGGCTTATCTGGCTTCCATCGCACATTGGCCTTGTCGGTAACGAAACTTCTTATCGCCATGCTAAAGAAACGGTTAGTTCATCAATTAGCCAAACAACGAGCCAACTAAGCAAATACCTTAAAGCTAAATTTAAAAAGTCAATCCTAGAATATTGTCAAGCTTGTTGGAATAACTGTAATATAGCCCTAAACAGAATTTAACTTAAAATTACCCGTTTAAGTCTAACTAACCTCCCTCGTAACGAATCACGAATTCCCGGAAAAATAACTTTCAAGTCTTCGCTTGCAGATATTCTAAACTACCAAGTAAATGCACGAAAGTGCTACAGTTTCTCAGAGGCACTAATCTTTTTAATAAAATGTAATACCTATTTTGTCATTTCTTAGAATAAATCAACTGTATCGTGCCAATGGCCTTAGTTACCGAGGCACAATAAAAAAGTTGTTGTACGTTTTACTGCAATTGCTTTCGGTTCCTTTGTTTTCTTAGACTTTTATAGCTCTTAGCTCTTGTTTTGAACTTCGTTTGACCATCTCGTTTGCTAGTTATTAGATCTATTTCCTGTAGATTTTTCCATTATGTCAATTGCAGTTTTTTTAATATGAGCCATATTGTTTCAAATCACAGTAGTACTGCTTTTAATATTATTAATCATAAATTTTCAGCTATATAAGTACAGTATTAATAATTATTAAATTTTTTTGACGGTGGTTTTTCTGTGTATTTCAGACACTCTTACCATCAAAGATTTGGTCACAGAAGGAAAGCAGCTATTTGAGTACCTATTACATAATGTCAACCAATATGATTTCAAAGTGGTTGAAATGGAATCGCATGAAAGTGAACCTGAATATATATTGGTACAAGTAACAAGTGCTCCTCAAGTCTCTTACAAGGATTCCCAAGACCAACAACACACTGATGATTTTGACATAACTTTGATAGTCTATAACCTGTGTGCTCCTTTTAGTCCTAAAGACAATGTTTTACATTTGAAATATTACTTACTTCTAACATCTAAAAGGTAAGTTTATTTTTATGTAGAGGATATGGGATTATGTTTGTATTATGATTCTATTGGTGGTGGTGGCATGAAATATTGGTACCTCCGTTGAGAATTTGTTTTTTTTTCGATACAGCATATCTTCGGAGCGTGTGAGTAAAAATATGTAGAATAGACCCACCGACGAATATCCACTATACTTGACGAGCACAAACAAAGTCTAAGGATTAAGTAAATCTCGCTATAATAGTCTTATTTACACATGATCATACCAAGACAGGACGACACAAAATAAACCTTAGCCGTTGTACAGAACAGATCGTAGTTCGCAGCCAAAAAACATAAAACATAAATATATTTTATATATATTTTATATACAGGGTGAGTCACGCTCAACGGGACGGAGCCTACCGGGGAAATGGCTAAAGATATTAAAAATTCCTTTTGTAGGAATACGTAGGTCAGTACCGGCTACAAATTAAAATTTGTGAGATATATACAGGGTGTCCCAATTTGGCGTAATGATATAAACTTATACTTTTTTAAATGGAATAACCTATATTTCACTTTAATTTTGAATTCTACTGAACAAAATAATGTTACTTTATTCAACATTCCCTATACCTATTTTTGACCGGTTTCGATTTATTTGGGTTTTTCTGAAAATGTACTATTCGCGAAATTAATTAATTACACAATATCGCATCAATTATAATTAACGCCTTTTTGTCAATTAATTTTCAAGTGTCCATGCTTTACATCAGAATAATTACCAATTGAAATTAATCTACAGAGTGTTCGCAATACGAAGTGTCAATGCTGTATAATAGTTTGTGTAATTACTTTCTTAACTTAAATGGGACACCCTGTATTTTACTTTAATTTTGAATTCTAATCAAAAAAATAATATTACTTTATTAAACAATCCCTATACCTATCCTTTATAATTTTCGATTAATTTGGGTTTTTTTGAAAATGCACTATTCTTGAAATTAATTAATTACACTTTATTACATAAAGTTAAACAAAACACACTAGAAAAAAATTAATTTACATTAAATGTTCAAAATGGTGTCCATTTTCTTCAATACATAACCTCACTCTGTGTTCAAAATTTTGTTTTACTCTTCTTAGCATTTCTGGAGTAACTGTTGCAAACGCATTACGAATACGCGTTTTCATGTCTTCAGCGGTTGTAGGTGGAGTTTGATAAACCAAACTTTTAATATATCCCCAAAAAAAAAGTCCATTGATGTTAACCCAGGTGATCTAGGGGGCCAATTGACAGCACCACCCCTACCTATCCACTTTCCGGGAAATTTTCTGTCTAAATATTCTCTAACGTTACGCGTGTAATGTGCTGGAGCACCGTCTAGCTGCAGAAACATTGTTCTTCTAATATTTAAAGGGATATTTTGCAAAAGTATCCAAAAGTCTCTTCGTAGAAATCTTAAAAACTTTTGTCCATTTAAATGGCCATTAAAAAAATACGGTCCTATCACATGTTCTCCTATTATTCCACCATATACATTAAGGGACCATCGGTTTTGTCGATCAGTACATCTATATTCATGTTGATTTTCCGTATTATAATAGTGAAAGTTATGTCGGTTCACGAGTCCATTATTATGGAAAGTAGATTCATCAGTGAACAAAATTTTATCAAAAAAATGTTGATCTGCTCCCGTTTTGTCTAGAAACCATAAACAAAATTCTAACCTACGTTCAAAATCAGTTCCATACAAATGCTGATGCATTTGAATATGGTATGGGTGATATTGATATTTTTTAAGAATTCTGCATATACTAGTTTGGCTTACTTCAATCTCCCTGGCCATCGTCCTTGTACTTGTATTTGGATTTTCAATAACTGATTGAATAACTTCTAATTCGGTATTTTCATCTTCAGTTATCGGATTTATTAATTTTCGTTTAGTATAAACAACACTGCCAGTTTCACGAAACCTTGTTAAGACTCTGTCAAATACTTCTTTACGAGGATGACGTTTTAAGGGAAATCTCTCAGCATAGACTCTTGATGCTAACAAACTGTTTTGATCACATTCACCCAGTATTAAAATCATATTTACTCGGTCTTCAATTGAATAATCTGCCATTTCTATTTAATTGAAAGCAATACAGTTAATAGTTTGACAATTAGTTTGACAGCTAGGTACCTTTTGTTTTTTCATGGCATTCTTTATAATAACGAGCTATGTAATTAATGACATTTAATGTTCCAGGTAACATAATGCAAATAGATTTGAAGATACTAGATATTAATATAAAATTTTATAATAGTTTGATTATAATAATTGTTACAACATTCAAATACAGGGTTTTTGTTTAAGTTAGAGTAGAACTTTATGTAATAAAGTGATAAAAATTAATTAATTTCAAGAATACATAGTGCATTTTCAAAAAAAACGCAAATAAATCGAAAATTCTCAAAGATAGGTATAGGGATTGTTTAATAAAGTAATATTATTTTTTTAATTAGAATTCAAAATTAAAGTAAAATACAGGGTGTCCCATTTAAGTTAAGAAAGTAATTATACAAAATATGGTACAGCATTGACACTTCAGATTGCGAACACTCTGTAGATTAGTTTCAAATGGTAATTATTCTGATGTAAAGCATGGACACTTGACAATTAACTGACAAAAAGGCGTTAATTAAAATTCATGCGATATTGTGTAATTAATTAATTTCGCGAATAGTACATTTTCAGAAAAACCCAAATAAATCGAAACCGGTCAAAAATAGGTATAGGGAATGTTGAATAAAGTAACATTATTTTGTTCAGTAGAATTCAAAATTAAAGTGAAATATATGTTGTTCCATTTAAAAAAGTATAAGTTTATATCATTACGCCAAATTGGGACACCCTGTATATATCTCACAAATTTTAATTTGTAGCCGGTACTAACCTACGTATTCCTGCAAAAGAAATTTTTAATATCTTTAGCCGTTTTCCCGGTAGGCTCCGTCCCGTTGAGCGTGACTCACCCTGTATATATATATATATATATATATATATATATATATATATATATATATATATATATATATATATATATATATATATATATCTGTGGCTATTTGCCAAAAGTTGATATGTCAAAAATCATGGTTTTCAGCTTTGCGAACCATGATATGTGTTTAAAGTTATATTTTTATTTGCCAAAAGTTGATAAGTCGACATATCAAGTTTTGTCACCATCAGATTTAAAATGTGGACGGATTTTTATAGACATCAAGTTTTGGTTACCAGCTGACGATAACATAACCTAATTTTATTGTTGTGCATTTTACTAAATTAAGATGGTTCTTTGGTTGCCTTAAGAAAACTATTAGTAAAAGTATGTCGCGTGGAAAGCTGTTAGTTGATATGGTTATTAGCCAACATGAAGATTCAGCGGTTTTAGTAAATATCGAGCGCTTACTAGTTGCTGTCGCAATAAATATCACGAGAAACTCTCCATAGATGAACAAAAATAAATTTTTTATGATTTTCTTAAAAAAGTGCAAGACAAATACCAAATAATTTTTGAAAGAGTGAAGATTGAGTCAAAGAAGACATCAAGAAAAAATAAAGGAGAACGAGAAAATAATAAAAACAGACTTATTGTGGTATCCTATAATATCACATATAACGACAAAACGTTAAAAGTTTGCAAATACCATGTTTGCACATGTTCCAGAATCTACATGGTATCATAAGAGGAAAAATTGATATTTTGATAAAAAAACAAATATCACCCACGGGTTTTATAAAACCTAATGGATCTGAAAAACGCCAACCACATAACTCCCGACCAGACGAAAAAGCTGAAGCTATAAAACACATAGAGTCTTTTCCAAAATATGAGAGCCACTACTCTCGAAGACACACAAGTCGACTCTATTTAGCTCTCAATCGAAATATTAAACTTATGTATGATCTTTATGTATCAAACAGAACAATGCCTGTATCATATTCATTTTACGCTAAGATTTTTAAAGAACTTGGATATAAATTTAAAAATCCTAGTATCGATACATGTAAGACTTGTGATTATCTAGAAAACAAGAAAAAATTCTCTAATGGTGAAGAAATACGTGCAGCCATGGATGAAGAGAAAAATAAACACCTTCAGCTAGCAGAGATTGTCTATGGTGAAAAAAAAAGCAGATATAGAGTTCTCCAGAAACAGTAGCGGTAAAATTCGCCAGAACCTACCAACACCCAATTTAAGCATAAATGTAGTCTACTATAAAGAATTGCTCTGGACATATAACCTCACAATCAGAAATTGCATTGAAAATACCACTTCATGTTTTATGTGGCATGAGGGGTTGTCAGACCGTGGATCAGATCAAGTTGCTTCTTGTCTTTTAAAATACCTTTACAGCTTAGTTGATACAGTTGAAAAAGTTGTTCTATATTCGGATTCTTGTCCCAGACAAAACAAAAATAACATTGTTGCAGGACCACTGTCTTTATTTGTTTATAGATCAACAACCATAAATGAAATACAACACAAGTTCCTAGAAGTGGGTCATACTAGAATGGAATGTGATGCCGACCATGCAAGAATTGAGCGTGCCAAAAAATCGTCACAAATTGAAATAAAGATACCTCATGACTGGTACCAGTTTGTTAGAACTGTCCCCGGTAAGAAGAAATTCCAGGTTATCGAAATGCAGAAGAAAGATTTTCTAGCTTATTCAAAACTTTTCCAGAATATCTATATAATGCGCGATAAAGGTGTGGATAATGAAAATGTGAAATGGCATGATATAAAAGTTCTACGTTTTGGTAAAGAGTTGGGTGTTACAGTCATTAAATATGCACATAAAGGTCTTGAAGTTTCTACCCTTAATATTAAACGCAGATGGCAGCAGATGGATCCTACATTAGAACCTAATTATAGTGGACCTAAACCCATAAAACATCAAAAAAGGAAGAATGTACCATCCATTTTACTACGCACTCAAGACTAGTGAGAATATAAATGATGGAATTTAATGTTTTATTTTTAAGTGATAAAAATTGCTTTTTTATGTAGATTGATAATAGTGAACAATAAAAATAATTTTACTTATTGTTATTGCTCATTTCAAAGAGATTTATACTGAAGTTTAAATTTAGATATTCTATAAATTAGTAAATTTTAGATTATTTTATAAATTGATAAATATGTAAGTTTTAATTTCAGTTTAAATTTCTTCAGTTTTTATTTTGTAATTATGCTATTCACGTATTTTATATACTTCACTTTGACATGATGTCTATATATGGCATCTAAGATATTTGTCAGAACATGATATGTTTCATTAGTATTAGTAGTTCATCATTCAGTAAAATCATTTTGCACAATAGAATTTCCAAAATTAATGTACACTATTAGCATAAGCAGCACTTTATTTATTTATATAAGAAATTTCATAAAAATCTAATAAAATTTTAGCGAGTAAAAAACAAAAACAAATTGTCATGAGGTTAATATATTTTTAATTTCGCTCTACTGAAAACTTGTTCTACACCTAAGATGCAACACCATCAGATATCAAGTGTTATCAATCTTATCCGAGAAATGTCAAAAAATACGAATTTCGCTAATTGTAAAGTACCTTTATATTTTACGATATAGAAAATTGTTATGAAAAGTTGTTTGGATTTAAAAACTATGTTTTAATATGCAATTACATCCTTCTAATTGAAAAAAAGATAATTTTGTAAAATTACCGATACCGTACGTAAGAACATAATTTTTATTTATTACAAGTATGATAAGATAACTCTTCCGTTTCGATTAAAAAATACGAATGTTTTCAGGGAAGTCTATCCAAAATCTGAAATAGATGAAAAGTTGGGAAAATTCAGAACAGTCTCGTCGACAGCTAGAAGTCTTTCTGCATCAGAACGCGAACAAGACGAGTGTGAGTCTAGTTTAGAGAAAAATCTAAATGAATCAGACTTTTTGAGTTCAAGTGAACAGCCAATGACGTCAATCAATGTCAGCAATGAAACATTGAACAACGAAAATTCCTGCAATAATCACCATTCCGCTTATTTACCTTATGTGGAAATTAACCAAGAATCCGTTAATTATTTAGGATATTATTCGTCACATGAACAATTAATGCAGCAATTAATTTTAGATAAAGCCAGCACGACCAAGAAAAACATCAGGGAGATAGTTAAGAAAGGTAAATATACTTGAATCTGTAAGATTTTTTGCAGCCATTTTTATATTTACAGGATATAATTTTCTAATTATATATAACGAGTTTATTACAGCTGACGCCGTTTCTCGCAACCTAGCTTCCAACGCTTGCGATCGTTCTAGTCATCTACTTGTAGACCCCTATCTTCCATTGCACCATTTACTTCTTGTCTCCACGATATTCTTGGTCTTCCTTTTTTCCTGCGGTTGGTGGGGATCCACTGTAACATTCTCTTTGGCCATCGTTGATCATTCATCCTTTCTACATGGCCATACCATTTCAGCCTTTTGCATTCTATAGTTTCCAGGATGTCAATGTCTATGCCCATACGCTCTTTGCATTTTTTCTAATTACTTCTTTTACTTATTACTTATTTTTTCATCAATTTTCTAATTACTTCTGGCAAAATTTGTGTTAAACATTTTTTTCTAGGCTGTACGTTAAGTGGAAACTATAGCTGTTTTCACTCAATATCCTTTGTATTATTTATTACTCATACTTTTCCATTACATCTCATTTTGGTTCCACGTTTCCTATTTTATTTTTAACTTTTTTAAGTTTTCTTTAGCCTAAGGGAATATTACAACTTTGGGTTTCATATAATTTAAACAATTGCGACATTCCTCTGTTGAAAATGGCTCTACAAATCTTAACATTTTGTTTTTCTGTTCCTGTAGTTATTATTATAAAATGACGTAGATAAAGCACTAAAGCGAGTCAGGTCATACTGACCTCGGATGCCTTATGAGTTTTATTTAGAGTTAATTGATTAATTTATAGTCCAGAGAAATGCGTTTTTCTCGGGACATCTCAATAACTAGGAGTTTTCTGTTAATATATAACTAGAGTAAGCAAATCTATACGTTTTCTGCAGAAATTTTGGTATTGTTTTTTAATTGTTAACAATTTATTGCGAAAAAAGAGAATCTCTCGAATTTTTACTTGTCATTAAATTACTTATTACTTAATTATAATAAAGTATAAACATTTTATCTGTTAAGAGATAGAAAAACCTTCAAACTGGCGTTTTATAACATTTTTTAAATTAACTTGTTGCTTTAAAAATAGCAAAGGAAGACAAAATCGTTAATTGTTTATAACTTTTGTAAAAGTCAATTAGTCTGAAAGTTATTTAAATTGTTTATCTCGGAGCATCAGTCTGAGAGTTTTGTGAAACATAAGATAAATGATGAAGATACGGTAATTCTACTGTTACCGGCTAAGCCTAAATTTGATTTTATTTCTTTATTGTTTTTGGCTCCGGGAGGAAGTTTTTTATACATGGTATTTTAGCAGCATTTGTTTTTACTCCATGCCCTGTTACAAGGTGGCATATGTATGCTACTTCTTTTCTCAAAAATTCACATTTATCTGGCTGTATTTTTAAATTAGTTTTTGGCAACCTTTTAAATACTGCTGTCAGCCGTGACATATGCTCATGAAGACTATTATGTCATCCATAATATATACTAAGCATCCTTCGTTTTGGATTCCTAAGATGTTGTCCATTACTCGTTAGAAAGTAGATGGTGCATTCATTAGTCGAAATCGCATGCGAACAAATTTGTTATATCCATTATCAGCGGAAAAGGCTGTTTTCTGAATATCTCTTGGCTCAATTTCAATTTGGTGGAATCCAGACGCTAAATCTAGTGTTGTGAAGTATTGGCATTTTCCTATTTGTTTTAATAGTTCAGAAATCTGTGTTAGTGGATAACAGTCTTTTACTTTGAGGTAGTTAACCAACAGCTATTACCGATAATTCACTTTGGAGGGCCACTAGGAAATTAAAACAAGCTAGTAAATACAAATCAGCATTAAGAAATCCAGATGGCTCATGGACAAGAATAGATCAACTTTTGCTGTAACTGTTTTACAAAAATTTTATTATTTTTAGGTATGGTTCACTGCAGAACACATTTACTCTGGAACAGGTTGATATCCCCAAAAGAATCTAGTGCGTTAACTTACGACGAATTTTTGGAACTTAGGAATTTGGCAAGACTGGAACATGTCTGCAATCTGCACCCTAATTTGGGACCACTTCTCAACCAACCAATTACATGGTATCAAAACTTTGCTAAACTCTTGTTGGTAAAATATGTGGACCATACCAGAAGTTTTTACTCGGCAGATGGCAACATATTGCACTATGTTATTTTACACCAAGAATATTTTAGTGCTTTTATGCTTTTGTCTTTGGATCTTCACACTTCACGAGGAGTAAGTTGGTATTATTTATGTATATATTTGTATAACAATAAAAACACTAAAAAGCTTTTGTTTTCAAACCTTGCAATTTTATTATATCTATTATTGTTTTATTTTGGCTATTATTATGAGATTATTGCCATATCATGTTTGCTTCCAATTAGGATATGATCTATTTGATTTATTACTTTTTCATCATGAGAAGTCCATAGTATCTTACGAATGTCTTTATGATCATAACTTGTACTAGCTATTTTCATTTTTGCAGAAAATTTTATTAACTTTTTCCCATGTTCATTTTATTCCTTAGGTAAACTAAGACCCCTGTTATGCTTCTATATATTTCCTCTTTTCCGACTCTCGCATTCGTCACCAAGGATTATCTTTATAAAGTATTTTTCACCTAAGAAGACCGCCTTGCAAGTAAATGCTGGTAACTTATCTTATCCGTTTTAAGATTTTCCTGACTACATGAAATCGAAAGTATTTACCAGCGGACCAGATATGTGGCTATATATTTAACAGAATCCAACTTGTAAATAATATAAATTCCCGTTTTCCTCCGTCAATCCTCCCGGTCCAAGGCATGCTCCTCCTCCAAACCTCTCGATTCCATCGCTCTTCTAATTCCTTCAGTCCATATTTTTCCATAAATATCAATTTTTTTTTTCAAGGGAGCTTCCATCTGTGAAGTTTTTGGGGCCAACGTTTGTCAAGCATTCTCAATAGATTTCCAAACCATTTTAAACATGTTATTCCTTATAGATTCGTTGGTCTTCCTTTCCAGACGTGATGTTCTAGCACTTCTTCTCACATAATCCATTTTAACTGCCAACAATCTTCTCTTCAGGTCTGCATTAATTGTCCATATTTCAGATCGGGACCGTCTCGACTCTGAGAGCGATTCAAATAGCGACTGCTATGACCGTCTTGTCCCAGATTACCGATAATAAACCGACGGCCAAGACCGTCTTGTCCGTGAAAGGGTTAACTAAGTTTTCGTGAGTTACACTTTTATTAATTTACCTCACTAAACTTTAATCTCTCCGGTCGTAGTCATCTTCATTCTTGCAACAACTGGATTTTGGAGGGTTTAAATGAATTCTTATGTAATACAGGCAAGACTGAAGAATGGCCAACTTCGTGTATTTGTGCATCTTTGTGTGACGATGTATGTGGATCTTCAACGAAACTGTATTAAGTCTAAATTTTTATTCTAGTTTATAATAGTTTTTGTTTTACCTGTTTGAATGCCATCTTATTTACTTTTACTCGTCCAATTTCCTCAAAGGGCTTTACAATTTTTTGTACCGTAGCCTTGGATAGCCATGGATAGGAGAATGGTTCGCTATAAGATCTTTTTCTATCGCCGTACCCCGTAATCATATTAAAACCATCTTAATTTAAGAGCTTTTAAAAACACATAAAACAACTGTCAGTTTATTTTACATGAATTATACAATTTATTTTACAAAACTTTTCAATAAACGTCAAGCTATTGTTAGTTTTATGAATTAATGTCAAAATCACAGCATTCTATATTTACTGAATTACTTCAAAACTATTTGGCACTGAGAAGTTTTATTTATTTAAGACCTTCGTGAATAGATAAAATACCAAGTGTTACATATGGTTAAACTCGTATTGAAGTGAGGATTCCAATAATAATACAATATACAGAGTGTTGTATTTAAAAAACCAAAGTGACTAATGATATCAGAAAAATGGTAAATCCGCTAACATTGCAAGCATCAAAATTTGAAATCTCCATATTACACAATAGGCGTATTCCGGTTTTTGTACAATTCGGACCATCCATTTAAGAGATAATTAGGTGTTTCCAGACTTTTGGTCTACTCTGTATATTATATTAAAAACTTTGTAAACATATTTGCTTATTTATTTCTGTATTTTAGGAAATGTATGCCGTGTATAGAGAACCACAAATGCAAGAAAATTTAGAATTTTCTCAGGTATGTCAGAAGGAACTACTTGATGGATTCGTAAACTGTATCTGTTTTTACCTATGGTCAGGAATGATTTCCAACTGACGTTCGAAGTTTTGGCCTTAAAACTTAATCCGATTAAGTCAATTAAACATTTTTGATTTGTTTGTTATTTTTAATTAGTTTTTACTAATTCAGCTTGGTTTATCAGGAGCTCAGTATACTGTGATATTATATTTGTACAAATTAAAATATTCCTAGTGCCTGACAATTTAGTGTTCCGAAGTATACTGTCGATTTTATATATTTTATTTTAATATTTGACTATTTTAATGAGTGCCATGTTGTGCCAATACATTTAAATACATTTATATACTATTTATTGTTTTCTTTCCTCTCAATCTACCCGAGTCGCTGTATAGATGGCTGGCCATAGGAGAAGTTTTTCCAAAAAGGCTTGGTGGAAGTAGCGGATTTTTTCTGATTTACATGGTTTGAAACTAAATAAAGAGAGCGCTTTGAACAGTGATCAAGCAATAAAAAAATGAGTTATCTGGAACATGTACTGCAATACCAAGAGAACTACTTCCCTAATTAGTTATAAAGGATAAAATAGCACAAAAGCAGACCATAAAAGGAAAAGGAATACCGGAGTAATCGCCAACCTCTGTAAATTAAGATAACACTCGAAGAAGAAGGTATTCTAAGGAATAACACGATCTATCTACCAATTGATAATATACCAACAATTACTGGTGGGTTTAGGGTCAAACAACGATAACTACAAAAATATGAAGTGGTAGAAAATGCTATTGCAATAGAAATCTGTAAATTTATATATTATTATAATAGTTCCATTGAGAATTATAATAGTTATTACAGGTTATTGTTATGCTACAAAGAAAATAATGGACTTTGTTCCTAATAATGGCCGATAACGTTTTTTGATATTAGCGACACATATTTTTTTGTAATCGTTAACGTCGCACCTGATTTACCTAACGTAAAAGAAAAAGGAAAAATATACATGCTGATTTAGATGACTCTATTAAGAATTTAGATAACGAACCTGATGAAGAATCTGAATCATCCGCTGAAGACACACATTCGGAGCAACAAAACAAAAAGTAAAAAATATATTATGTATAAATATATTAGTATATATTTATACATAATATAATAGCTGACCGTCGCTAGCACCTATTTTGAACATAAGAATATACACAAGGTAACCTGGACCTCCCCTGATGGTAGAACAACTATCAGAGGTCAGATTGATCACATCTTAATAGATTCAAGACACTGAACGGACATAATGAACTGCAGAAGTTATAGAGGCGCAAACATAGACTCGTACCACTGTTTAGTGATCTCAACACTAAGGGCTAGAATTTCAAATTCCAACAAAGAAAAAAAAATAGATACAAAGAAATAGAATGTACAGGAAAATATTACCAATAGGTTAAGAAATCAAAGTCCAAGCGAAGAAGACCAGAGAGATATAGACTCCTACTGGAACACGATAAAGGAAGATATTGAGTCAGCAGCACAAGATGAAATAGGAACAGAAGCTTGTAACCGAAAAAATTACTGGTTTGACGATGAATGCAAAGACGCAACACAGAAAAAGAAATGAAGCTTATGCAAAAATGCTTCCCGCCGAACTAGAACAAGTGTACAGAATTACCAGACAAAGAGAAGAGAAGAAAATAAAATACACAGAATGAAGAAACGAAACCACTTAAAAAAAACTTCAATATATAGAAAACCTCAACAAAGAGAAAGAATTCAGACGTACTAAAGAACAGAGGAACAAGAACAGACGTACTAATCGATGGACGGAATATTTTAACCAGATACTTAATATAGAGGAAGAAGAAGAAAACCCGAAAGACGAAAGCTGTGAGGTAAGCGGAGCAGACGAGAGGGAGGAGAATCCACCAACGATCCTGGAAGTTAAAGACGCTGCAAACAAACTAGCCAGAAACAAAACCCGGAATAGAAAATCTCCCAGCGGAATTATATAAAGAAGGTGGCCTCGACATCATAATAGCGCTACAACAGCGTTATAGCGTTATAAAAGAAATATGGATACAGAAGTCCTTTTCCAGTGATTGGAATATTAGAATACTTTGCACCATACACAAAAAGGGAGATATCTTTGAATGCTCTAACTATCGAGGAATTACGCTCCTAAATGCAGCGTATAAAATATTCTCCAATATACTATGCCATCGTATGGCACCGTATGCAGAGCGAATAATAGGACAATACCAGGCTGGTTTCAGAGGTGGTAAATCAACAATTCATCAGATTTCAACCCTGAGACAAATTCTAGAGAAAACACTGGAATACGGTGTAAACACGCACCACATATTTATAGACTACAAGGCAGCCTACGACTCTGTAAATAGAAGAGAATTGTTTAGAGCAATGATAGATCTAGGAGTACCAGTTGGTAAGTCTAACCAAACTAACACTTAAAATATTTGAATGCAGAGTACGAGTCCAGGGAGACCTCTCTGAACCTTTTAATACAAATAACGGACTACGTCAGGGAGACCCACTCTCCTGTATACTATTCAATCTAGCTCTGGAAAAAGTAATACGTACGTCACAAATCACAACTACCGGTTCAATATATAACAAATGCAAATCCTAGCATATGCTTCAATATTGTTGGGAGAACGGAAAACGCAGCACGAGAGGCGTATGTAGCACTAAAGGAAGCGGCTACAAAAATGGGTTTAATAATAAACATTAATAAAACGAAATACATGAAAATAGGTCCGCAACCACAAATACTACGGCCACTTGTTATAGAAAACGACGTCATCGAAGCAGTTAACGAATTTGTATACCTGGGAATGCTCGTCAATACTGAAAATGACACTACCACAGTAAACCGCAGAATTTGCACGGCTAATAGATGCTATTTTGGGCTTAATCTCCTTTTTAAATCTACAGTTATATCAAGAAATACAAAAGTAAAACTCTACAAAACAATAATACGCCCAGTCCTAACATATGATTCAGAAACCTGGACTTTAACAAAAAGCAATGAAAACATGTTAGGATGTTTCGAAAGAAAAATACTAAGGCGAATCTATGGAGCGGTAAATGAAAATGGTGTCTGGAGAAGACGATACAACTTCGAACTCTATAGAATATACCAGGAACCAGATATCGTAAAACACATTAAGATAGGACGTCTGAGGTAGGTAGGCCATGTAATGCGGATGGAGCAAACCGACCCAGCTAGAAAAACGCTCCTTGATAGACCTATTGGTCAAAGAAGAAGAGGAAGACCCAGAACAAGATTCCTAGATAACATAGACCAAGATATGAGAAATATGGAAATACGTGCTTGGCGGAGGAAGGCGATGGATAGGGACGACTGGAAGAGAATTCTTGGGGAGGCTAGGACCCACACAGGGTTGTAAAGCCAAAATGATGATGATATTAGTATCTAACTAAATTTAAATTGTCCAAGTTAAGCGAAAATGTTCGCGGAAAATGAGACGGCCGTGCAGTGAACATTGTAATCACTGTCTTAAATGAGAAGAAAGACTTTGCCCCGTGAGACGAACCACCGTCATTAATGATCAATGGCAGCCACAACAGCTACAAGACGCTCAAGCAGATGATCCGTGTATAAAAAGAGTATTGGATTGGATGCGTCGAAGTGAAAGACCTTCTTGGCAAGACATTAGTGCATGTAGTCCCGAAGTCAAGTGTTACTGGAGCCAATGGAATTGCCTAGTGCTGAAAGATGATCTTCTGTATAGAACCTTTGAGAACGATGATGGTACAGAAACTAAGCTTCAGTTAATTGTACCTAAAAGTAAAGTGTCAGAAGTATTGCGTCAGTTACATGACGGTGCATCAGGTGGACACTTTGGTATTACGAAGACTCTGCAAAAGGTTCGAGAACGGTTCTATTGGGTGAACTGTAAAGATGATGTAAGAAGATGATGCCGGAAATGTTAGTAAAAAGAGAGCACCCATGAAACAGTATAATGTTGGTAGTCCTATGGAAAGAGTAGCAATCGACATTGCCGGTAAACTTCCAGAGACGAATGATGGAAATAAATATATCCTGGTAGCTATTTTACGAAATGGACTGAGGCCTAAGCGATACCAAATCAAGAAGCTGCTACCGTTGCAGAGGTACTTGTAAAAGAATTGTTCAGCCGATTTGGTGTTCCTTTAGAGATCCACTCCGACCAAGGGCGAAACTTCGAGTCAACCCTTTTCCAAAACGTTTGTAAATTGATTGGTGTCAATAAGACCAGAACGACACCCCTGCATCCTCAATCAGATGGAATGGTCGAGAGAATGAACCGAACGATGGGTAAACAACTGTCCAAAGATGTATCAGAGCATCAAAGAGATTGGGACCAGCACATTCATTTATTCCTAATGGCCTACCGCTGTGAATGAAACTACGGGCCAGACTCCAACCTGCCTGATGTTAGGTCGTGAAGTTCGTTTGCCCTGCAACCTAGAGTTTGGCTGCAGACCTTCCGAAGAACATGTTGCCAGCGAAGATTATGTCGACCGCCTAAAGTTAAGAATGAACAACATTCATGAACTTGCCCGACAACACATCCAGTTAGCCAGTGATAGAATGAAAGATCAATACGATTCTCGATGCAAGAATGAAAGCTACGAAGTAGGTGATCTTGTTTGGCTTTATAATCCACAACGTCGTCGTGGCTTGTCTCCTAAACTGCAAAGACAATGGGAGGGTCCGTATGAAATTAAAAAGAGAATAAATGACGTAATATACCGAATTAAGAAGTTGCCGAAAGGTAAACCAAAAGTAGTTCACATAAATCGTCTTGCACCTTATGCTGGCTCAAATGAAACAGAAGAAGTACGAATCCTTCAACATGAGATCAAAGATAATCGGCGACCAAGCTTTAACGAGTTTATGTCAAATTACGCAGAGAGAAAGAGTGCTAGATTCGGCGTGACGACAGAAGTTCAGCAGGATCTTTTTAGTGTTCCGCATAACGTCACTCTAGCCCACTGTGTTGCCCAAGATCTTGAGATGACTAAAGGAATCTCATCCGTATTTTATAAGAAATTTGGTCGCTTGGACGAGTTAAAAAACCAGCAGCCTAAAGTTGGAAGAGTGCTGAGATTAGAAGATGGTTCTCGATCTTTGCTGTATATGGTGACCAGGAAGTCGTATACAGACAGGGCAACCTACGAGGATATATGGTGTGCTCTAACTAATTTAAAGAAAATCGTCTGCAATTACGACATTAAGAACTTGGCTTTACCCAAGATAGGCCATGCACTAGATAATCTGGATTGGAAGATTGTCAGAAGCATGCTTGAAG